CCTGATGAGTTGTAAGTCCATAACAGTGAAATGATAGTGCACAACAATCCTTTGCATAATCATAATCACAGACCTGAAGTGAATGAAGATTTTGGGTCTTGGATTTTGATAAATAAGCGAATTCGCAAACGTTCTCCTAAGGTGGTCAAAGACATAGAAGGGGCTGGCAACGCCAACCTTGATGGTCCAAAGGCACCGGAAAAGGGCTCTATAGCGGTGGTTCATCCATGAGTGGAAAAAGGAAAGAATAATCTGAATAATTTGAATAGCGCAAATCTTGGGTTTTGTTCGAGATTCACGGAAATGGAAATGCAAGAGGTAGAAATTGTAGAGGAAAATAAGGAACAAAATAAGGAAACAGAGGATTTCTAGATAATACTCTTGATAAAGATGGAATAAATTTTCCATCAATTAATTTAGGGGAACATTCTCAACAAATCATGTCACAAAAAGATTATGTTCCAGTTTTCAAGGTGAATAATATCTCTTCAAGTCAATCGAAATCTAAGCCCAAAAAGATTGCTTCCAAAGTTTATCTTGAGAAGAATAAAAATTTATCTTCAAAAGATTTTGCTAGTCTACTCAAGGATATCTCGGTCATCTCGATTGATAATCTTACCAAAATTAATGCTCAAACAAGCCAAGGAAATGAGAACTCAACGTTTATGTTCGAAGCCAACAAAGTACTTATCTCATAAGCCAACACAAAGCTTACACAAGCTATAGAGAAGACTAACCAATCCAACTCTCTGTGACACAAAGTGAAGTTCAATATGTTTCATCATCCCTCCTCGATCACACTGACTGTACCAACGGAGAAGACTTTATGTGTTGGAAAGCCAATGGAACAACCATACCTAGTACTCACGACCCCCTTAACTCATATTCTAGAGGTCGATTTGAACTCATTCCTACCGCCAATCTCGACTCCCCCTAAATGGGTGGCAACTCTGAAAATTCCCAATGAGTTTAAACATTTGTTCTAGCTCATAAGTTAAGCACATATAGTGTCTTCTTTACCTTCAATACCAGTATATATGATGATACATTTCCGAATTTGGCTCCGGACTCTTTACCAATATCGTGTACGGTGTGGAATGTACAAGGTGTGGGCAATCGAAACTTCATATCCACTTTGAAGGACTTGGTTCGAGTAAATAAGCCTAATGTTCTAACTCTGGTGGAGACTCAAATGGGTGGAGAGCATGCAGAGAAAATAGCATCGATCATTGGTTATAATATAATGGTCACACTAGAGTGGACGCCATGGGGTTTAGGTGGAGGAATTTGGGTTTACTAGAAACCTAAATTTGTCACAGTAAGCCCAATCTTGAAGCATAATCAGTATATTTGTCAGAGTTGGTAGCAAGAAGATAAACTAGAAGGACGGCTTCATTGAATCTTTAAAGAGAAAGAATTTATAGAGAGTTTTCTAGGAAGAAGATTACAGAAAACATGAAAAATGTATGAATGAATGAATTCGCTTTTTAAGATCTATATATATTACAAGTGGTTGTAACTAACTTGTAACAAACTTATTTCTTTAGTTGATGTCAGCAATCCAATGCTCATGCTTCTTGTGTGTGCTCTCCGGCTCAACTTCTTACATGCTCTTTTATTTCCTCATCATCATCAGTCATTCTAACACCCCCACTCAACTATGCATTGCGTTAACCATGCCTAGTTTGGATAGTAACTCATTGAACTGTCTTGAGGAAAGCACTTTAGTGAATAAATCTGCAATCTGAGAAGTTGTAGGCAAGTATGTAATCTGTATTAATCTTCTAACACCTTGTCCCTTGTAAAATGGACATCAATCTCAATATGCTTTGTCCTTTCATGATGCACTGGGTTTTTATCTATGTGAATAGCACTCTGATTGTCACAGTGCAGAGTTACAAGCTTCAAGTGCTAAACTCCTAATTCTTCCAGTAACCTTACAATCCATGCCACTTCACCTGCTGTTGCTGACATTGCCTTGTATTCTGCTTTTGAGGAACTTTTTGACACAACACCTTGATTATTTGACTTCCAGGTTATAGGAGATCTTCCCAACATCAAGATGTAGCCTGAGATTGATCTTTTACTATCTACGCAAGCTCCCTAATCTGAATCTGAAAATGCTTGTAAAATCAACTTTTCTGCACCTTTCAGTAAAATACCTTGCCCTATTGTCCCATTTATATATCTCAAAGTATGTTATAATGCCCTGAAATGAGGCATTCTAGGCTCTTGAAGAAATTAATTGAGATGCTGTACAATATAAGATAAGTCTGGCCTGGTATGTGTTAGGAAATTCAATTTCCCAACAAGACACCTGTACCTGCTAGGATCAGCATAAAGTTTCCCTTCTGTTGCTTGTAATTTGATGTTTACAGGAAAAGGAGTTACATCTGTTCTGTCTTCTTGTATATTAGCCTATTTCAGCAATTCCTTTGTGAACTTCTTTTGTGACATACTTATACCAGCATCCATGTAACCAATTTCCATCCCAAGAAAATAGCTAAGCTTTCCCAAATCTTTGATACTAGAAACAACATCAAGATGATTTTTCAATCTACAAATTTCCAATTCTTCACTTCTAGTGACAATAATGTCATCTACATATACTGCTGCTATGATGATGCTATTCTGCTTTTGTTTAATAAAAGAGAATAGTCATTCTTAGACTATTCATAACCCATGGACTTCAACTCCCCCACTAACTTGGAAAACCATTATCTGGAAGCTTGTTTAAGCCCATACAATGATTTGACAAGTTTGCACACTTTGTTTTCTAGGTTATGAAAACCTCCAGGAGATGTCATATATACTTCCTCAGTCAGTTCACCATGCAACAAGGCATTATTGACATCTAATTGATGCAATTTCCATCCCTTAAAAGCAGCTAAAGCCAGAATGCACCTAACATTTCCCATCTTCACAACTGGAGAAAAAACTTCATCAAAATCAATCCCTCACTTCTGATTATAACCCTTAGCCACCAACCTTGCCTTGAACCTCTCAATAGAACCATCAGCTTTAAGTTTAATCTTGTAAACCCATTTACAACCAATAGACTTTTTGTTAGGAGGTAAAGAAACCAGAACCCAAGTGTTGTTCTTCTGTAAAGCAGTAAGTCCTTTATTCATTACTTCAATCCATCTATCATCATTCACAGCTTGTGAGTAAGATATAGGTTCTTACAAATTTTCTGCAACTGAGGCTAGGGCATGAATTGATGTTGGAATATGTCTAAAATGAACAAGACCACATTAGTGTAACTGTGAATTGCATGAATAACTAAGGTTACATATAAAGTTGTCAAAATGGGAAGGACATTTTGTTGGTCTTGAGCTTTTTCTGACTGTGGGAACAGGACATCCAATAGCAGTGTCAGATAAGTCAGTAGAAAGGGAAGTGTCCACTGACATGTCAAAAGAAGAACCACAAGAAGAATTAGGTTCAGGGATAACAGGACTATCATATTCTCTAATGATTACAGGAAGTGAATCATAAGGAAAAGAGGAGAAATCAGTTGCTGTGGGAAGGAAAAATTTATGTTGTGTATTGGCTAAAAAATAATAGCAAAAATGTTGTTCATGGAAAACATCCCTGGACACAGATATTTTCAAGGAGTATAAATTTAACACCTTATAGCCTTTCTGGTAAAAGGAGCATCCTATAAAAACATGAGGTTTAGCCCTGGGTTCAAACTTTGCTCTATGTTGCTTTGATTTAGAAACAAAACAAAGAAAGCCAAAAACCCTCAAATGATCTGGAGAAGGTACCATTCCAAACACTTTTTCATATGGTGAACAATTCCCAAGCACTGTAAAGGCATTCTATTTATCAAATGGACAACACATAACACACGCTCACCCCAAAATTGTATAGGAAGACTAGCTTGGAAGAATAAAGCTCTGGAGGTTTCAAGAAGATGTTTTTGTTTCCTCTCAACAACCCTATTCTGTTGAGGTGTATCCACACAACTTCTTTGTTGTGATATACCCTTTTCATGAAAGAAAGCTTTCAATTCTCCCTCACAAAGCTCAAGTGCATTGTCACTTCTCACCATCTTAACAGTTTTGACAAACTGATTCTCAATATAGTAAACAAAATTTTTAAAAATTTGAACAACATCTGATTTGTAATGCATTAGAAAAATCCAAGTCATTCTACTAAAATCATCAACAATTGTTAAGAAAATTTTACAACCATTGTAAGTAGGATCTGGATTAGGACCCCATACATCAATGTGTAAAAGTTCAAATGGTGCCTTGGACTTAATACTACTGACAGGAAAAGACTTCCTAGTCTGTCTGGCAGCAGGATAGATTTGACAAAAACTGTCCACAGTACACTCCTTATTACAAACATTAGACACAACATGGTGTAACCTATTGACAGGAAGATGTCCCAACCTAAGATGCCATAGTTTGACTTTATTAGAATCATTACTATGTACAGTAGCTGTAGTAAAAGACTTTGTGTGACCTCTCTTTTCTAAGACTGAGTCTTCTAGACAGTATAGTCCATTTTTGAGCTTACCAAGAAGATTTGGCTTCTATGAAGAGCCTTGAATATAACACTCATTGTCAGTGAAAATTGCATGACAATCTAAATCCTTGCACAACTTAGGTATAGAAATCAGACTGTACCTAAAATCAGGAACATATAGCACATTGTTCAAAACTATATGACTGTTTAGGGTTATGGTACCTAAGTGTGTGATTGCCACTTATTTGCCATTAGGTATAGTGATAAAATTCTCTGTACCACTATACTGATGTAAAGAATCAAATAAGGAACTATCATAACACATTTGATCTGTATCCACTGTCTAATATCCATTAAGCATGGACTAGAGAGGTTAAGCATAATTTACCTGCCACATGAGCATACTTGTTGTTTAAAGAATTCTCTCCAGAACTTGTTGTCTGCATTTCTGCTTTCTGTTGAGTCAACTGGTACTTCAAGAACTTTTCATACTGCTTTCCAGAAAGTGTAATCTCATTGCCTTAATTCTCTTTTTCCTCATGATCAATGAATTCTGCATTTGCAGCCACTCTTTTACCCTTATCAAGATATTTACTCTGAGTATATCCTTTAAGCTTATAGCAACTCTGAATACTATGCCCTGGGATCTTACAGTGATCACAATAATAGTTGACTCTTCTCTGATCATTGTTTCCGTAGTTGTGATAACTTTGTCTGTTTTTATCTTGTTCATAGTATTTCCTATTGTTCACAGCAAAAGCCATAGATTCGTTTGAAGTAGCATGTGTCTGGTATAGCTGTTTGTGATTTTCCTCTTGTACAAGGAGTCTGTAAGCATGTGAAATGTTAGGCAAAGGGCTGAACATCAGTATACTTCCTCTGACCACCTCAAAACTATCATTTAGCTTCATTAAGAACTCAACCAATCTTCTGTCCTGCTGTGACTTGAGCAATCTTTGAGTGATGTTACAGTTGCAGTTGATGCAAGAGCACATAGGAATTGGGTCAATTACATCCAACTGATCCCACATCATTTTTATCTTGGTGTAAAAACCTGAGATATTGTCATGATCTTGCTTAATCTCATGTAAGGCTTGTTGCAAATAATACAACAAAGCTCCAGAGGATTGACAATATCTTTCCTCCAAATTCAACCATATCTCCCTAGCTGTGCTAAAATAAAACACTTCTTGCTATGTCTTGTTCTAAGACACCTAACAAGCATGAGGTGATCATATTGTTGCACCTCTCCCAAGAAAGGCAAGTATCACTAGTTACAGCAGGTTTAATCAAACTTCCATCAACAAATCCAAGCTTATTCTTAGCTGATAAGCTAATCAACATTGAACATTTCCAATCTGCATAACTATTTCCATTAAACTTGAAATTCACTAGTTTCTGACCAGGATTATTAGACGGATGCAAGTAAAAAGGTGAAGTAGGATTCTGTGCAGGATCTACTTCCATGTCTATACTTCAATCACAAAAATCAATGATCACAATCTTCAACCACAGCCACAAATTCAAGAATCTATTTCAATCACAATCTCAGTAAACAACTGTATCACAAATAACTTGATGTAATCCAAGAATCAAATCCAAAAACTATTCACCAAACAACTACTTCTCAAATGCAACAAGAATCTTTGATTAAGCAATTAATCCAGAAGAATAAATGAAATTATACTGAACTCTAACTGACTGTAGTACTAACTTGCAGAATTTGAACAAAAAATCAAGAAATTTGATCGAATTTGAACACTAGAAAACTTCGAGAAATCGATCGGAAAAAATACCTCAAATGAACAATTTCAGTGAGAAATGATCAAGGACTTCATCATCACCAGATTGTTACTTGCTCTGATACCATGTCAGAGTTGGCAGCAAGAAGAGAAATTAGAAGGACGACTTCATTGAATCTTTAGAGAGAAGAAATTTACAGAGAGTTTTCTAGGAAGAAGATTACAGAAAACATGAAAAATGTATGAATGAATGAATTAGCTTTTTAAGAGCCATATATATATTACAAGTGGTTGTAACTAACTTGTAACAAAATTATTTCTTTAGCTGATGTCAGCAATCCAATGCTCATGCTTCTTGTGTGTGCTCTCCAGCTCAGCTTCTTACATGCTCTTTTATTTCCTCATCATCATCAGTCATTCTAACAATAATACTATGGAGATTACTCGAGTTGGAGCTATTCCCTAGTACTTTTCGGTGGTGCATGCAAGCCTGGATCCCATGAAAAGGAAAGAATTGTGGGAAGAGCTTCGTGATTTTGTAAGATTTCATAGTCAACCATGGTTTGTTGCAAGAGACTTTAATGACACAAGATTTCCTTTGGAACACATTAGTTCATGGGGATATTCTCAATGGTGACCCCCAACTTTTGCTACGCACCTACGGTGACCTCCCTTTTTTTTTTCAATTATACAAAATGACCTTAGTTAAAATTTTCATCTCACTCATAACCTTATTTCATTAAATATTAACTATAGTTAGATTTATATTTATAATAAATAAATAAATAAATAAATAAATAAACTAACTAAAAAAATTAACCCCCAACCACCAAAAACAGCCACCCCCACCTGCCCAGCCACCCTAAAAATAAAAAACCCACCCAGCATAACCCAGCCGTAGCCACCGCCACCACCCTATCCCTGGGTCGGCGCTGAATCTGCCGGAACTCCCGCGCCGGCGCCACCTTGACCTCGACACCCAACTGCCGGCACCCCAAAGCTTCCCCTAAACCACCACGCTATTTAATCGAACACCCCCTCTTTTCTCCCTCGAAAAACACAGCCCTCCCCACCGCCGGCGTCCAATCACCCTTCCTCGCGCCGGCGAACCCCACGCCATCTCCCCCTATCTCTCCTTCTGCCATCTCCACCCCCAGAACCACCACGCCAAAACCCCAAATTAAAAAACCGTAAAATCGAAATCTAGGGTTTTGATTTTAGGGAATTTGTTATTGGGGTTTTAGGGTGTCGAGGATGGTAGTTTAAGGGGGAAAAGTGGGTGAAGATGGGCGAATTAGCTTCGTCGGCGCAGGGGATGGGGTTTGGGCAGGTGGGGATGGCCGAAAATCGTAAAGGGACGGGAAGGGGATGGGTTTTTGGGTAGGGTGGCCAGAAATCGGAGAGGGAGAGGAAGGGGCAGTGTTAGAAAAGGAAGCGGGGCGAGGAGGGGAGGGGAGAGGGCGAAAAGGCAAGTGGGGCAGGAGGCTGGGGAGGTGGTGGCCCGAAGTTATGGAGGGGGAAAGGGAAGAAGAAGAAGAAGAAAGGGGAAAAAAATAAGTTTGGGGTGGCTGGGTAGGTGGGGGTGGCTGGTTTTAGTGGTTGGGTTAATTATTTTAGTTTTTTTTTTTTTTTTTTTTTTTTTTTTTTTTTTTTTTTTAAATATAAATCTAACTATAATTAATATATTTAATGAAATAAGGTTATGAGTGAGATGAAAATTTTAACTAAGGTCATTTTGTATAAGTGAAAAAAACGGAGGTCACCGTTGGTGCGTAGCAAAAGTTAGGGGTCACCATTGAGAATATCCCTTAATTCATTTAGAGAAACTAATAGAAGATCTATGTTATTCAACAACTGGATTGAAGACATGGATCTCCTAGAAGTTGAGTTCTCGGGAGCAGTTCATACTTGGGCTAGGGGACGTACCTCTGAAACCCAATAGAGTGGAAGATTATATTAGACCATGATTTGTGGGCAATAAGGTTTGAAAAGGCTTCCATGAAACATCTCACGACTATACACTCCGATCATTGTCCAATTATTATTTCCCGTAATGGATTTGCACCTTTACAAGAATTACATCGTCCTTTTCAATTTCAAGCCACGTGGCTATCCCATGAAATTTTCAGAGACTTTGTCAATCGAAAATGGGATACTAGTAGTCCTCTTATGCCGGCTTTAACAAAATTTTCAGACGATTTACAAGTGCGGAACAAAGAAATTTTTGCAAATATCTTCAAACAAAAACGCACTTTATTGGCGCGTATTGGAGGTATCCAAAAAGCATTGGCCACACGCACTGATAGAGGACTTCTCAAACTCGAGGCCAAGCTCCGAAGGGAGTTGTATGAAATTTTGAATCATGAGGAAACCTTGTGGTGTCAAAAATCCTGCATTAACTGGCTAAAAGATACGGATAGAAACACCAAAATTATCCACCTTAGCACCATTGTCCGACGTTGGAGAAATCACATAGTGGCTATAAAGGGGATTGGTGGTTCGTAGATTCAGGAGAAGGATAAAATCAAAGATCCTTATTTTCCTTCCTTATTTACTAAAGATGGTGAGCCTTGATTTTTTGACGTCCCACAAGATGTTTTCCCAGAACATTCAATGCAACACTAGAGCTTGCTTACAAGGCCCTATTTGACTGTAGAAATTGACGAAGTGATAAAGGACATGACTGCTCTAAAAGCACCAGGCTCTAACAATTCCCAAGCGTTGTTGTTGAATTGACTACCTTAATATTTTGATGATTGACATACATAAAACAAACTCTGACTAATGATGTTTATAAGTCTTAGTTGAACAGAAAGATTCAGGTACAAAGCTAAATGTTCCGGAGTAGGAACAAAAGAGTTTGGAAGTCTTGGTGTAACAAGCAAGCTTTCAAGATATCCTCACAAGCTCCAATACTTAGAATGTTCTTGTATGTACTTGAGAAGCAAAGTGTTGGAAGGAACAAATAAGAAACTTGAAGTTCCTGAAGGAACCTAGAGTTCCCCAAGGAACTTAACGTTTTGACTCAGAAAAGATTTTTACGAAAAGATTTTGAAATCCTTGATTTAAGGAATAAAAATCAGTTTGAAAGGATTGTTTTAGAAATAAATAAATATTAAATAATTCCTTAAATTAAAAGATAAGTTTACTAATTTTAATTTAAATAATTATTTATTTATTTTATCTTTTTTTTTTATCTTTTTAAATAATTATCTTTTAAATAAAAGTTTTTCTAACTGATTTTTGACTTGGTAAAAATACTATTTGCTTAATTCAAAGAATCACGTTGAACTTGGGAGACAAGTCAGTGAAACCAGGTATCTCCACTTCCTCAACGTACATCCTAACTTCTCTGTTATGGTGAACGTCGGATTGAGGGGGAAGTGGGAACATGGTTGAGGCTTAACTAATCTCCCTATAAAAAGCATTCAACGTTGCTATTTTAAAGTGTAAAAAAACAATCTGAATTTTTGAGCGAAAAAGTTTCTAAAGTCAAGTTCCTTCCATCCTTGAGTTTCTTGAGTACATTAGGGAAATCCTTGTAATTACTTTGTAATTGGGATTGGGGTTGTGAGAGTTGTAAGTGTGAGGCTTGAGAGAGTTCTTCACATTGTACAAGTGATTCGGAGCAGAATCACAAAGAGTGAGAAACTGCGATTGAGGGATCGTAGTTGGGTAACTTGAGTTCCTCACGGAACTTGAGTCTAGGCAGAATATTAGCGATTGTAATTCATCTTTACATAGTGAAATTATTCATTGCCTATCTCGAGTGTCTTCTCTCTTAGTAGATAGTTTAATTTCGCAAAATTTTCTATAATCTACAATTCACCCCCCCTCTTGTAGTAGACATTGTTCTATCAATTGGTATCAGAGCGAGGAACTCCGTATAACAGGAAACCCTGTCGAGTCAAGTTCCTGGAGGAACAATGTCGAAGGATGAAAGGTTAGCAGAAGGATACTCAACCCAAAGACCTCCACTCTTCAATGGGAAGTACTACGCCTATTGGAAGACAAGAATGAAGATGTTTATTCAGTCCGAGAACTATCAAGTATGGCGTGCTATCGAAGTCGGAGATAATGAGGTAACAAAAACAAATGCAGAAAATGAGGTAATTCCCAAACCTAACTCTGAATATGATAGAAGCGATTTTGAGAAGAAAGAGATTAATGCTACTGCTAAAAAACTCCTAGTATGGGGATTAGGACCAGATGAGCATACTCGAGTTATGGGATGTAAAACAGCAAAAGAAATATGGGATTTACTAGAAATAACCCACGAAGGAACTCAAGAAGTCAAACATTCTAAAATTGATATACTGCTTTCTAAATATGAACGATTTGAAATGGGTTCAATAGAATCTATTCAAGATATGTTTACAAGATTTAAAAACATTACTAACGAACTAGTTTCTCTTGGTAGAATTATTCCTATGTATGAGCAGGTACGAAAAATTCTGAGAAGCCTTCCTGAAGATGAACGATGGCGATCAAAAGTTGCAGCTTTAAAGGAATCAAAAGATTTCACAACCTTTAACCTTGAACAACTTGCAGGTTCCTTGATAACACACGAACTGCACCTGTCAAACAAAAGTCAAGAAAACTCAAAGAGCTGTGGAATTGCTCTAAAGGTTGTTCAACCAAGTGAAGAGGATTCCAAATTTGAAGAGGAAGAAGCTGTTATGCTAGTTAGGAGGCTAAAGAAGTTGTACCGCAACAAAAGGTTTG